AATCATCTGGGAAGTGAACCAGTGATGGAAGATATTCTCTCTCTCTCTCTCTCTCTCATTCTCTCTCTCTCTCTCTCTCTCTTTCTCCTTTTCTCTCTGTAACCCTGAATTTCAAGTAAATGATTTTTTTTAAAGTTTTGGAAAGTTAAATTAAAACATAACTATATTTTGCTGTAAAACAAATTTTGGGGCCGGCGCCACGGCTCAATAGGCTAATCCTCCCCCTAGTGGCACCGGCACACCGGGTTCTAATCCCAGTCGGGGCACCAGATTCTGTCCTGGTTGCCCCTCTTCCAGGCCAGCTCTCTGCTGTGGCCCTGGAGTACAGTGGAGGATGGCCCAAGTACTCGGGCCCTGCACCTGCATGGGAGACCAGGAGAAGCACCTGGCCCCTGCCTTCGGATCAGCGTAGTGCACCGGCTGCAGCGTGCCGGCCGCGGTGGCCATTGGAAGGTGAACCAACGGCAAAGGAAGACCTTTCTCTCTGTCTCTCTCTCACTGTCCACTCTGCCTGTTAAAAAAAAAAATCTTGATGTCCACGCATCATTTTTTCCCAGTATGCATCTTCCACGAACTGTTGGAAGACCCCCTCTCATTAACCTTGAAACAGAACTGCCAGGCACATGGTGCGGGCACTGTCAACTCTCACTGACAGTGGTGAATTGTTTAAGGGTGGTGGCATCAATTCACACTCCCACCAGCAGCGGGTAAGTCCCCGCTGCCACACAGCCTGGCCAACACTTGGCTACATCACGCTTTGCTGATCTCAGGTGTGAAACGGTACCTGGAGTGGTGTTGATTTGCATTTCTCAATCACCGGCTAGGCTGGGCATCTTTTCACGAGTTCAGTGGTCACTTGAAACATTGAACACTTGCACTCTCAGATCACACCCCCTTCTTGGGAAGCGCCTCTCCACATTTTTGTCCCACAGTTATTTTCTGTTGGAGTGTCTGTGTCCCAGCTGATTTGAGGAGGTTCTTCCCATATTCTGAAGACTCTCAAGTGTATATGTTGCAAATTTCAACTCCAAATACATAAGTGTCTGTTTTATGCTTAGCTCAACAGCTTATTATTACAGCATAGTCAAATTTATCATTTCCCCCCTATGGTTGGTGCTTTTGTGACTTCTTTAAGAAAATTTCCCCCGGGCCAGCATTGTGGTGAAGTGGGTAAAGCCACTGCCTGCAGTGCCAGCATCCCATACAGGTACCAGTTCGAGTCCCAGCTGCTCCACTTCTGACCCAGCTCTCTGCTAATGCACCTGGGAAAGCAGAGGAAGACGGCCCAAGTGCGTGGGTCCCTGCCACCCACGTGGGAGACCTGGATGAAGCTCCTGGTTCCTGGTTTGGCCTGGCCCACTCTTGCCACCATCTGGAGAAGTGAACCAGCAGATGGAAGAGCTCTCTCTCACTCTCTCACTCTTTCTGTAACTCTGACTTTCAAATAAATAAAAACACCTTTAAAAAGGAAAATTTTCCTTTGGAGCCACATGGCATGGGTTACTGGTTGTGTGGCCTTGGGAAGATATCTCCTTTCCTGGGGCCTCGATTTCTCCCTCTGTAAATTGGGTCTGATGACAGCATGTGACTCACAGGTTATTTTAAGGATCCTTGCAAAGAAGTTAGCACAGGGGCAGGAACACCATCATTGTCCCCCTCAACGGACCTTACACACGCACGGACCCACGCGGAGGGACAGGAATACCTTGCTCTCAAGCACATCTGTATTCTGCCGCAGTTCGTTCCGCAGCTTCTCCGACTTTTCTAGCTTGTGTCTCAGCGCCGTGAGCTCCTCCTACAAAAAGCAAACAGCTGAACAGAGGCCATTCTGGACCATAAGTATGTGGTGCCCTTGTGGTGAGAGCGATCTGAGGATAAAAAGCTTGAGTTAGGGGCCAGCAGTGTGGCGCAGTAGGTTAATCCTCCACCTGCAGTGCCAGCATCCCCTATGGGCACCAGTTTGAGTCCCAGCTGCTACATTTCTGCCTCAGCTCCCTGCTAATGTGCCTGGAAAAGCAGTAGAAGATGGCCCAAGTCCTTGGGCCCCTGCCTCATTTGGGAGACCTGAAAGAAGCTCCAGGCTCCTGGCTTTGGATCGGCTCAGCTCTGGCCATTGTGGCCATCTGGGGGAATGAATCAGCGGGTGGAAGACCTTTCTCTCTCTCTCTCTCTCTCTCTCTCTCTCTCACTGTACCTAACTCTACCTCTTAAATAAATAAATAAATAAAAATCCTTTGAAAAGAAAAAAAAGAAAGCTTGAGTAAAGAGGAAGACGCATTAGTGATTTAGTGCACAGGATAGCAACTGAATAAATGATAACGTGTTGTGTATTTCAGCACTGCTGAACGGGTTGGCTTTTAAACGTTTTTACTGCACACACACGAAGCCAAAGTCTGTGAGGTGATGGATCTGTTAACCAGCCTGGTTTAATCACCCCACGCTGAAAATATACGGGTGGGGAGGGGGCTCTCCAGAAAGTCCATGGGCAACGAGCATCACTATGCATGGATTTCAAACATTTTTGCACTGAAGCAAGCTCATCTCCGTTCTCCCCTGAACTGGCTGCAGAACCCTCATATCCTGAAATACCATACCATACCCCATAAAGAAACACAGTGAGTATCTGCCAATTAAAATAGAATTAAATAAAAAGCAGGGTGGCTGGGGAACTGGGCGGCTGATCAACTTGCCCGCCTGTGGTGAGGTCTGAAACTGAAGATCCCGCGAGTGCCTTCTGCCCTCGCTGCTGCTTAGCGACAGCATCTCTACTCACTCCGAGCCCCCACTGGCCCCGCCTGGGGGCTGCACGCAAGTGTGCAGAACAAGCCCACTGTACGTGCTTAGCACATCCACACCCCCCAACCACCATCCAAGCTTTCACTTTCTGGCTCAACACGCAGCCTGGGGCATCACCGTTAGCGGCAGTGCCTGTGCCCGGCTGCAGCAGGCTGGTGGACCGAGCCCCGGCATTTACCTATGAAGGAGTGTTTTGCAGCTACAAGAAGGGAACGAGGAGGAGCTCCCTAAAAATTGAACCTTGGAGGGAATTTCGGGAAATGCAAGGTGAAGGAGAGTAGATACAGACTGAGTCTCCCTCATCAGAAACGTCTGGGGACAGAAAGTGCTTGAGAATTTGGAGTTTGGGGCATTTGGGAATATTTGCATGCACTTTATCAGTTGGGATTCTTCAGATGAGATGTGCTCCACTTGGATGGTAGTTGGCTTTTTGTGCAAGAAAGAAATGAAGTGTGTGTGTGTGTGCACGTGCGTGTGTGTTTGACAACTTTTGCAAGAATGAAACAACAGCAAGCAACAACTCACAACCAATGAGAATAGTAGCAGGAAGGGAGCGTAAGAAAGCTCAAGACTTAAAGATGGCACCACCAAGTCTCTCTGGCTGAGCAGTAAGTGCTCCTGTGGCCCGCCAGGTGGTCAGAGCGTGTCTACACCCCTCACCCCGGGGGCTGCGGGACTCAGGGGACATCCAGCAGGGGGCGTCCAGGGCTGCTGGGCCCAGTGTTCCACCATCAAGGATCCCTGGGGGTGCAGGCCCTGGTGCCTTAGTGAAAGCACCAAGATGGGGGAGGGGAAGGAACCGACCCTCCCCTCTCCCCCACCCCCCATCCCGGGCCCCAGGTCCTGCCTGCTGCACAGACCGACCTCCTTGGCTCTGAGCTGCTCACTCCCGATGCTGGAACTCAACAGTGGCCGGAGGGAGCCGAGGAGCCGCCACCACGGCCAGTCCTTGACGGCCAGGAACACAGCCATGTTCCTCTGGATGCTCCTTGCTGCCAGCCGGCGAATCTGCAGGAGGAAAAGGCAAGGGTGAGTGGCTCCTTCCTTTCCGGGCTGGGGGTGGGGGAAGCAGAGGAGGCGGATGTGGCCCAGGGTGGAGCCCATGCTCCTCAGCCCCAGAGGGAACAACTGGAGGACCTTTTTGTGCCCCCCCCCCCAAAAAAAACCCTTCCATTTGTGGAGTCGGGCTTTCTGCACCAGGCTCTCTGCCGGGCTTCAGTCTTGCTTGGCCAAGTGACAATAATGGGACAAGGCATAGAAAATACTGACTGATGGGAAACATCTTAGGTAGGGATTCTGCCAGGCAAAAACACTCCTTGGAAACACTTGCACCTGCCCACAGGAAACAATGTCCAGGATGCCACTGTTAGCAAAGCCAGACTTCGCAAGCGTATTTCAACAGGAACCCCATGCTTCTCAAACCCGTGTGCGTTTCAGAGTCCTATGGAGGGCTATGGAAACACAGCAGGCTCTGATTCAGTAAACCTGGGGCACAGGCCCTGGGCACACGCATTTCTGACAAATGCCCAGGTCTGCTGAGGCTGCTGGGCTGGGGACCCCACGTTGAGAAGTGCTGACCCAACTCATCTCTGTTGGGTGCAGGTGGGAAACATGCTGACCGGCAGGCTAGGAGGTGCTGTTTTTTCATCACCATGACAACAGCCAATGCGTGAACAGGTGATGCGGAGCTAAGACATACCAGGCAACACCCTGACCCATGTTAACCCAGTCCTCATCATAGCCCTGGGAAGGGCAGTATCGTTATTGTCCCTGTTCTACAGATGGAGAAACGGAGAAGTCACTTGCCCAGGATCACCCAGCTTCTCCGTGGCAGAGCTGGGATTTGGTCCCTTGCAGCCTGGCTGTGGGCTTAGGAAACATCTTGACTCTTGCACAGTGCCCCTCGCAAAGGGTCTCGCTACCCAGATCCAGTGCCTGGATCGGTAGTACTGACATCACCGCGGGAGACATGCGAGCCTGCGTGCCCACCCCACACCCACTGGCCCAGAACCCGTAGGCGAACCCCGAGCAGTACCTTCAGCTTCTTGAATTCCTGGCGAGACAGGAAGCCCTTGCAAGCCGCCTGGAAGAGGACGATGCCCTGAGACACCAGCTTCTCCCGCTGCTTCTCCAGCCTGGAGACCACGCCTTCCTTGAGGAAAACCTGTGAGCGGGAAAGGCCACAGGTGACTCCTCTGCCGAATCAGATTGTCTCAATGGGAGGGGCTTGCAACGCAGACCCCAGTTCCAGTCCATCCACCTGCAGGATCTGTGGGCAGCTGCCCCTTAATGAGGACCTAAGTTAGCAAGGCGTGGCGTCTCCTAATGGCTCCTCTAGTCTCTGGGACTGCAGCCTGGTCCACGCACCTGCAGCATAGGCATCGCCTGAATGCTTGTTAGAAATGCAAAGTCTCGGCAGGTGCCGCGGCTCACTAGGCTAATCCTCTGCCTTGCGGCGCCGGCACACCGGGTTCTAGTCCCAGTCGGGGCGCCAGATTCTGTCCCGGTTGCCCCTCTTCCAGGCCAGCTCTCTGCTGTGACCCGGGAGTGCAGTGGAGGATGGCCCAAGTGCTTGGGCCCTGCACCCCATGGGAGACCAGGAGAAGCACCTGGCTCCTGCCTTCGGGTCAGCGCAGTGCGCCGGCCGCAGCGCACCAGCCACGGTGGCCATTGGAGGGTGAGCCAATGGCAAAAGGAAGATTTTTCTCTCTGTCTCTCTCTCTCTCTCATTGTCCACTCTGCCTGTCAAAAAAAAAATGCAAAGTCTCGCACCCCATTCTAGACCTGCCAGATCAGAATCTGCATGGTAACACAAGCCCCTTGGGGACACTCCTGCACGTCAGTGTGAGAACCATTGCCGGGACAGATCTGCCTGAACTTCACCGAGCACCAGAATCAATCGGGGAAGTATAGTCAATGCAGATTCCCAGGCTTTGCCCCAGGAGAGGTTGAATCAGTGGGCTTGGGCCCAAGCTTCGGAAAGTGTGTGTGTGTTTTTAAGTAAGCACCACTGGAAATCTGAGAAAGACCTGGATCCAGCCTACTAAGGAGGGCCAGCGGCAGAGACAGTAGGGGAGGTGGGGATGGCCCTCCTCGGTCTGGAGAGAATGGGGCTGGGCTGGTACCACCCACAGGGGTGCCGCAACAGCCCATGGTACCGCGAGGCCTCGGGATGGTTCATCCATAATGGATGATGGCTTCCGCAGGGTGTGATCAATGCCTCCTCGGCACCCCCACAGAGCCGCCTTCAAACAGACGGCAGGCAGGGAACGGCAGGGAACAGGGAAGCCGGGACCTAGGACCGACTGAAAGCAGAAGATGAAGGCAGAGTCTTGGAGGTTTGCCTTAGAGGATTTTCTAAGAGCGTCTTTAGCTCGGGGAGGGGGCAGTGCTGATCCTGCCAAGGTGCTGGCACAGTTATGGCTTGGGGTAACCATTTTCTCTCCACCCCAAGGAAGGAAGCAAAGGTGGATGCTACAGTGTCGGGAGGATTCCAGTCCGTGATGGAGGTGGGGTCGCTTTTCAGAGGCCCTCCTGCTGACTGCTAAGATCAGCCTTTGTTTCTTTGTCACATGTGGTTTGTAACCCCAGAGGTGTCAGCGCCCCCTGCAGGCCCTCTGTAGCTCTATAGTCACTGGGGACATTTTCCATTCATGGTAACATGTAGGGAGCTCTTGCTGCCCTTCTGGAAATGAACAAGCCCTGGGCATGGAGGGAAGGCCCCTGGCAGGCCTAGAGGACCTCAAAATCAATGCATTTGGGGCAAAAAGTCTTTGAAATCCACACACGTGAGGGATTCTCAAAACGGTCATGGATAATGCATTTTATTGAAAAAAAAAACCCACATGAATTTCAAAACTCTCTTGCGCCAAACTTCTTATAATGCCATTTTCACGAGCTTCTGGAAGAACCATAGGGTGGTTATGAGGATCCTCCCATTTTACAGATGGAGAAACTGAGGCTAAAAGAGGCACCAGGATTTCCATTCACCTGACCCCAGAGAAGACTCCAGTTCCCACTGAACTTAAAAACATGCTTTAAAACGTCCATGGAAAAGCAAAGGAATTCATACGCAAGCTTATTTGGGTGCAATTTTCTAAAAACCCATGTGTCGCGTTTTCAGAATATGCATTTTCCGTGAATGTTTTAAGGACCCCTGGTATTGTGTGAATTGCAAAAACTGCACCAAGATAAACTGTTTTGCTAATTTTTCTCAGTCAAGAGGTGCTAACTTTCCTTTTTCAATTTTTTTTTTGTCATTTTATTTGAAAGGCAGAGAGAGAGAGAGAGAGAGAGAGAGATCCTGCATCCGCTGATCATTCTCCAAATGTCAGTATTAGCCAAGGCTGAGCAGGCTGAAGCCAGGAGCCCAAAACTCCCATCTGGGTCCTCCATGTGGGTGGAGGCCCACCCCCCACTGCCTCCCAGGGTTAGCAGGGAGCTGGGTCAGAATCTGAGTAACCAGGACTGGAACCAGGCATTCCAATGTGCAGGCTTTCAACGCACCGAAAAGGCTCCCCAAACTTATCTTTTAATTTAAATTTTTCCTAGAACTTTCTGATGTACACTCATGCATTTTCTCCAGGTCTTTCCTTCTACATCCATGTTTATCCCTCACAACACCACCACCACCACTACCGCGAATCTTCGGGCTCAGGTAGGTCCTGTCACTGACTCTGGTTCACATCACCAATGACCAACAAAGCCTAGACCAGTGCCTAAAACCCAGGTTTCTATCTCCTGCACCTGTTCCCAATGCCAGCATGAGGCTTGCCCTCCTTGTTCATTACAATACAAACAGCTGAAGCTTGAGGCTCAATTGCAATTTGATTCCAGGTGGAACAAAGGGTCTCAATCGATTCTCCATTACTCGAAGCCTATTTCTAGTAGTGGAGGCCGCTGGGCCAATCCCAGGGTAACGGGGAGGGGGGTGAGAACGAGGACTCCGGATCAGTGCTACCTCTGTTTTGCAACCTTCTACTGCTTTACGGAGCACTTCCTATGAAAAGTCAGGGCTACTGAGACAATTAGTCTCATCGGAATAAAGATACAATTGACTCATTACCTATCAGGTTGCCTCAATAATGTCTGTATTAATTTCATAAGCTAGTGAATCCCAAATCAATGATGCAAGCGATGACAGCACCAGTTTGTATATTACACTAGGCGGCAGGCACTGCCCAAACCACCATTGATTAAATATGAAGCTTTCATTAAAAAGATAATTGGAAGCCACCATTTGCAGGATGCGAAAAAGTCAGTATCTTATCACGATGTTTCGTTTCTGGTTTGCCTTTTAGGGACAGAGTGCTGAGCGAAAAGCCTGCCTGCCTGTGGAATCATACCTTTTCCACAAATGTCACAGCCTCTGGCTCAAGCCTTGATAAAGCTCCAGGGGCTGAAAAATCACCAAGAACAATCTAAATTATTCACTTTCCTTAGGTCCAGCTGCTTATCAGACCCAAACAGAGCATGGCGGCCTCACGTCCTCGCCTCGAGAGCACCCACAGGGGCCCTGCCGTGCGAGCTAGATTTCCTCTAAAAATGCCGCAGGCCAGGGGTTTTCAAAGATCGGATGGGACAATCGCTCCCGTGTTGGGGGGCCTGCTGAGAAATTAGCTCCTCTCCTCTCGGTAATTTTGCCGATTAGAGGTGCTTGATTCCTTACACATTAGAATGTCATCCTATTTGATACACACGTACCACTAACAGAAGCATCCAGCCAGGTCACGAGCGGGAAGCCCTTGTCAGTTACCAATTCCTGCAGCCAACCTGCTGGGGGCAGAGGGGTTAGGAAGCAGTGGCTCCACTTGGCAGAGGAGGAAACGGAGGCTTGGAGAGCCACAATTGCACAATGAGGGAGCCCACAGTCAGGGAGGGGCTGAGCCGGGGCTTCAACCAGAGCAGTCGCTTCTCTTTGCCCATGAGTTTCTGAGACTTCTGCTCTATTGCCCATGTTACAGCTGCCCTGGTCCCTGGTCTACGCTGGCTTCCAAAAGCGTACATTGACCTTGGTTTTCTTGGAATGGCTTCTTTGTGAGTCCCAAGTATCATTCAGTAACAACAATGTCCTATTACTGGGTTGTTCGGGCTCATCGACTCCCTGGCCCCTGCCACGGTCACCTGCGTGTGACGATTTATTCTGTTTTCTTTCTGACTCTGCAATTGCTGTCAGGATCTCGGGGCTGATTTTTGTATTCATGAAATAACTGAGTGATTTTCCAGGCCAGAGGTTCGCAGCCTTGGGCGTGCACTGGAATCTGGCAGAGGGCTTTGAGAATGCAGACGGCTGGGCCCCGCCCCCAGAGATTTCTGACTCGCTGCACCGGGGATGGGGTCTGGGAAGGTGTGCTTCTGGTAAGCTCTCAGGGGAGGTGGGTGCTGGTCCTGGGACCCAGCTCTGAGAACTGCAGAGTAGGTGACAACAATGGGAGCCCCAACACTAGAGTCCAATTCTCCTCACTTGGGACACAAAGACTTCCATGTAAAGGAGGTGGCAGGGAGAGGGGGTTCAGCATAGAGGGTGACCCCTGAATCCCACATCGCAATGTCTGGGTTTGATTCTCGGCTCTGGGTCCAGACTCCAAGTTCCTTCTTTTTTTTTTTTTCATTTATTTTACAGATACAGTTAGACAGTGAGAGAGAGAGAGACAGAGAGAAAGGTCTTCCTTCTGTTGGTTCACCCCCCCAAATGGCTGCTACAGCCGGAGCTATGCCGATCCGAAGCCAGGAACCAGGTGCTTCCTCCTGGTCTCCCATGTGGGTGCAGGGGCCCAAGCACTTGGGCCATCCTCCACTGCCTTCCCAGGCCACAGCAGAGAGCTGGACTGGAAGAGGAGCAGCCAGGACTGGAACTCGGTGCCCATATGGGATGCTGGCGCTGCCGGTGAAGGATTAACCAAGTGAGCCACAGAACCGGCCCCTCCAAGTTCCTTCTAATGCAGACCTGGGAGGCAGTGGCGATAGCTGCAGTCAGTGGGTTCCTGCCACCCACTTGGGAGACCTTGTATGCATGTATTTCAGAATTTTTTGCACCAAAATAAACATGTTTAACTCCATTTTCCTTGAGCTTTTTAAAAGTACCCTCATATTGGGAAAGCAGGAAATCTTTCTCTATACATTCAGGTAGCTTTGGATGCACTTTTTCAACATCAGTTTCCCAAAAGCTATTTCTCGCCACCCAAATAATCTCACGCCTTGTTCTCAGGTCCTGTCTTTCTTTTCACTTGCTGCTGCCAATCAGCCAGGACTGTAGTTGCGTCATCATTGGTTGCAATGGAGAAGCCAAAAGGCTCTGAGTAGGAGGCATTTCTCTCAGACAGGAGAGCGGTGCTTCCTGGAGCTGAGATCAACCCTGCCAGACCACGGAGGCACCTGGGACTGCGATGCCCGCCAAGTGGTATCTCCTGATGTTAGGTCTTCCCAGCTTATGGCATTTTGTCATCTAAGTAGGTGGAGCAGATGCACAGGGCTCATGGACAACCAAGCCAGGACAGCAATCAGGGCCCCGCTGGGTCCCTGAGCTGCTGGGCAGAAGGTCAGTAGGAAAGAAACTCCACTCACTTGGCTGTGTCCCAGGGCCACGGCCTTCTTCCCCAGGTCCAGGCTCTGCAGGAGCTCCTCCACGGCCTAGGGAGAAGAAAGGAGAGAGGGGTTGGAGGAGCAGGCAGAGAGCAGGTAGAATCCCAGAGTGGAAGGTCAGGCTCACTTTGAACAGCTGCAGTGCTGGGAGAGACAGAAGATGCTGTGTGTGTCTGGGAGCTTTGTCCAACAGAGCCCGGCCTTGGGCAGCAAGTACAGTGAATGAGCATATTCTGAGTACCTGCTGTATACCATGCACCCGACAGGGGCCCTCATTTATTTCATCTTCACAGCAACCTTAGGTGGGAAATCTTTTTTAAAAGGATTTACGTATTTATTTGAATGGCAGAGCAGTGGAATGAGAGAGAGGAAGATCTTTCATCAGCTGGTCTACTCCCCAAATGGCTGCAATAGCTGAGGCTGGGCCAGGCCAAAGTCAGAGCCAGGAATACCATCCTGTCCTCGCACATGGGTGGCAGGAACTTAAGTACTCGGGTCATCATCTGCTGCCTTCCTGGTTGTCACCATACCTATTGCTCAGAGGGGAAAAAAATCAAAGATCCTAAACAAGACGAGGAATTCAGTTGCTACAGGAAACAGTATGGCAGTTCCTTAGACTATTCGATGTGGAATGAAGGTAGGAGCCATCAGTCCCACTTGGGGGTTTCTCCCCTCTGCCAAAATTGAAATCAGAGTCTCAAAGACGATACCTGTGTCCCTAATAGCATTATTCACAATGGGCAAACCATGCCAGCAAACCAAGTGCTCACCAGTGGATGGATGCATAAACAACAAGTGGTTTATCCATGCAATGGAACCTGGGCCACAGGGCTGGCGTCATGGTGCAGCCAGCTAAACTGTCACCTATGACACCAGCATCCCACATCAGAGTGCCGATTCTGGTCCCAAGTGCTCCACTTCCAATCCGGCTCCCTGCTAATGCGCCTAGGAAGGCAGCAGATGATGGCCCAAGTGTTTAGGTCCCTGCCACCCATGGGGAAGACCTGGATGAAGCTCTGGGCTCCAGGCTTTGGCCTGGACCAGCCCCAGCCATTGCAGCCATTTGGGGAGTGAGTGGATGGAAGATAGCTCCCCTCACCACCTAGCCCCACTTCAGATAAAAATATTTAAAAAATTTTTTTAAAGAAGAAGAAGAAGTGTTTAAAGGGAAGGGAATTATGACACCTGCTGCAATACAGATAAACTTTGAGGATGTTATATTCAATGAAGTAAGTCAGCCACAAAAACAGATGAGTATTGTCGGCTCCACTCACACAGGGTACCTGAGCGCCAGATTCACAGGAAGTCGGATGGTGGCGGCCAGGAGAGAATGGGGAGTTTGTGTCTCATGGACACGCAGCTCCAGCTTGGCCAGAGGAAAAATAACTCGTGGCAGTGGTCAGCAATGACGGCTGCACCCTCTGAAGGCACAGTCAGTGTGGCCACACTGCGACATCTGGGTCTATCTGGGTCTCGAGCTGCTCCTTTCCCCCGGGGCTCGAGGGCAGGAAGAAATTCCTCACTGTGTCACTCAGCCGCCCGTGACAGCCTTCTCAGCGCTCTGCGCTTCGCTCCGCGCACCTGCAGACAACAGCTCCACTCCCACAAATGTTTGCTAAATAAATGGCACAGCCATTAACCCCGCCCGCTTGACCTAGATCGGGCGCCGCTGGATCGACGAGGCGTCTCAGTCATCAACTCTGCATTCAAGCCGTGGGCGGATGAACGCGCTGACCGACCGGAAGGACACTCAGACAAGAGCAGTCCCCTGGTGGTGGGCGTGGGGTGGGCAGCCCCGTGCAGAGGAAACCGAGTCCCTCAGGACTTCCGGTGCGCATAGACCAAACCAGCCTGGCATCTTCCTCTTGTGAAATAATCACACAGGCTTTCCAACAACCCTGCCTGAAACAAACACAGGTCATGCCTGCCTCCTTCATGGAGGTCGACTCCCCTCCTGCTCCGGCCTCAGACACCCCCACCCCTCCTCCATCACTGGCCTTCCATTCACCGAGCGCCAGAGCAGGCTACTTGCAGAATTGATTGTCAGGACAGTAATTGCCACACTGCAGAGGCAAAAGGTGTTATGAGCCTGGAGTCACGTAGTAGACAAGCTTCCATTCTTTGGGTCAACTGCATCAGAGAAAACTTCCTGAGATATCAGAAAACAAAACAAAACAAAAAATGCTTATTAAAAGTCTAGTCCCAGCTTGCAACCAGGGAGGGAGATTTCTTTGCTGACCTCCTGGAATGGCACCGCTCCAGCGTTCTGATGGTTTCACTTATTATAGTCTGGCCAAAAATGTTCCAAGGGAGCTGTGGGCGGCAGGAACACACAAAACCAATATATACCGAAAATATAATGTCTTTGCTCTCTGTGCAAAATGAAAACACAATAAAAAGTGGCTTAAAATAAGACAGATGGGTTTTACTAAATGAAATCCGCAGCCAGTGAAATTATTCTAAGTCTCCCGGGGAGATACAGATGTTTGGGGAGACAACAGGTGAGAATCTGGAGGCGGGTCAGTCACATGCTGGGGTTATCAGCTGCCTGGCTGCAGGCAGGTTCTGCACTCTCAGTCTCAGACTCTTGTCAGGAAAAGGGGGCCAAACAAGGACACCTGCTCCAGCAGAGAGTGCTGGCGGAGACCTTGACATAGTCCCCGGCATACAGGAAGTGCTCAATAAACAGGAGGAGACGTTCTACCCCCACAACCACCTCTGTTTGGTCAAGCCCCAGTGGAGACGCAGCAGAACTTGGAAAGAAGGTGTCTGTTTCTTGCAGGAGCACACGCTCAGCCACTGCGGTAACCGAGGGGTCCCCTCCGCCTCCGTGTTCTCTTGGGACCCTTTAGGTACCTGTCTCGAGAGGCAGCCACGAATATGATCACCTCATTTTGCACAGAAGATTCAGAGGGAGGAGTGAGGAGGTGAGCGAGGCACTGCCTCTCTTCTCACCAGCAAAGCCAGGGTTACAACCCCTGCCTGAACCCTACACAGCTGGGAAGACTGAGCATATAGGAAACAGACTTTGCAAATGACTTCGCCCTTAACCGCTCTTATTTTTATCCTCATTAACATCAGGACTAGATTGAAGCACAGGAAATCGCTGTTTGTTGAAGCCAAATATCAATTATTCATTTATTTCAATAAAATGTAATCATTGTTTAACAGCCAGCTACGGAAAGAAAACCTGGCAAGGATTCAAGTGACCATGAGCGATTTCACCTTTGTCTACCTCCTCATGGAAGCAGCTCCTCCGTGGATCAGAACTGTACAGGTAATCAAGGATTATATTTCTCTGATCTAGGAATGACACTTTTTAAATATAAAAATAGAAATCATATTAAAATTATTTCTGACCACAGTGCAATTAAACTAGAAATCAATAATATGAAAAATTTTATAAACTATACAAATTAACAGAAATTTTATGGGGGTGGAAGAAACTTTATTTTTTTTAAAGATTTACTTATTTGAAAGTCATAATTAGAGAGAGGGAGAGACAGAGAGGGAGAGAGAGAGAGAGATCTCCCATCCCCTGGTTCACTCCCCAAATGGCTGCAATAGCCAGGGCTGGGTCAGGGTGACGCCAGGAGTCTGGAACTCTGTCTAGGTCTCCTACGTGGGTGCAGAGACCCAAGTACTTAGACCAGCTTCCACTGCTTTCCCAGGCCATTAGCAGGGAGCTAGATCGGAAGTGGAGCAGCTGGGACACAAACCAGTGTCCACAGGGGATGCCAACACTGCAGCTGCACCACAAATTTTATTTTTTGCATTTTACATTTTAATTTCCACAGATAAGAGAAAACATGTGATATGTGTCTTTCTGGGTCTGGCTTATTTCACTTAGCATAGTCATCTCCAGTTCCATCCATTTTGTTGCGAGCGTCAGGATTTTATTCTTCTTATGGCTGGGTAAGATTCCATCATGTAGGTACAGGACATTTTAGTTATCGATCATCAGTTGATGGACATCTAGGTGGATCCCATGACTTTGCTCCTGTGAATCGGGAATGCTGCTTTTTTTTTTTTTTAATTTGAGAGGCAGAGAAGGAAGGCCCACGAAATCCACGCAGGACAGACACAAACAGCCACACTGGGAGTCATCACTGCCCAACTGCGGCCAGGCAGACACAGGGAGACCTTGAAAGCAGCAGGAGAAAAGCAATCCATTGTGTGACAGGGAAACAGCAAAACAATTAATCACTTAACAGCCACTACTCATCAGAAGCAAGGCACTCCAGATGCAGGGGGACTGAACATTGCCAGTGCTGCGAGGAAAAAGGGCGTCAATCAAAAATTCTGTAGGCAGGGCCTGGTGCTGTGGCATCAGGTAAAGCCATCGCCTGCAGTGCTGGCATCCCATATGGGCACCAGTTCAAGTCCCGGCTGCTCCACTTCTTATCCAGCTTTCTGCTCTGTCCTGGGAAAGCAGTGGAAGATGCTCTGGGTCCTTGGGCCCCTGCACCTGCATGGGAGACCTGCAGGAAGCTCCTAGCTCCTGGCTTCAGATGAGCACAGCTCCAGCTGTTGCGGCCAATTGGGGAATGAACCAGTGGATGGAAGACCTCTCTCTCTCTCTCTTTCTCTCTCTCTCTGCCTTTCCTTCTCTCTGTGTGTAACTCTGACTCTCAAATAAACAAATAAATCTTTAAAAAAAAACTGTATCTGGCAAAACTACTCTTGAAAAATGAGGGTGAAGAGTTTCTCAAGCAAACAAAGGCTGGGAGAGCTCACTTCTCTCGGCCTTTCTTCCTTACTTAGTGAAAGGAAGCCCTTTGGGAAGAAGCAAACAACACCAGAGGTAATCCAAATACTCAAAGAATGAAAGAAGAGCAGAAAACATACACAGGTAAATATAAAAGATTATGGAGATACATTTTTCTCTTCCCTTAAGTAATTTAAAAGATGTAGATTAAATAAAAGGTTATAAAGCTGTGCTGTTGGGTTTTTAACATATATAGATCTGATGTATAATATTATATATATATTACACAAAATCACTAAGGTAGGAGGAGGAAATGGAGCTATATTGGAGCAAGGATTTT